CCTCTATTCCCTCTGCCTTGCTAAAAATAGACAAATCACATTCCTAAAGCTAGACACCAAGATCCATTCCTTTCTTTGGCCACTTCCTCCGCGCTGAGGCTGACCGACAAGGTCCAACTATCAGAGTATTGAAGTCCAGCAATTAAAAGACTCCTTTTGGCCACCCTAATTAACATTCCCAATCAAAATCAAACACCTCATCCTAACATGAAGTGTCTCCTTTTTCGTTTATAAGCTGCCATTTGCCTACAGGCCACATCTGTCTCTTCCCTACCCAGAGGCAGGCCTTTGTCCCTCTGGGGCAAATATCCCTTCACCTTCCCCCTTCTCCCTCTATCTGCTGTCTTTGTTGCTTACTCCTTGCCTTTTGTCCCTCTGGGGCAAATAAATCTCCTTTGTGCTGAGAACTTGGTCTTGGGGTATCTTGTGCAGATACCACTCCTTCAGCAGTTCTTTGCATGTTCAGTATCTCGGGAAGAATCAGAAAGAACACGGAGCCAGTGGTCACCTGTGGGGAGTACAACTTGGCAGGACAAGAATGAAACTTAGCTTTTCTCTTGTTTGGTAGTTTTTTAGAAGGTAATCCTTGCCAGGTGGCATACACTTTAATCCCAGCACTCTGGAGGCGGAGGCAGAGACAGGCAGATCTCTTGAGTTTGAGACCAGTCTGGTCTACAGAGCGAGTTCCAGGACAGCCTGGAGAAACCCTGTCTTGAAACACACAGGACAAACAAGCAGCAGAAACAAAGGGGGCGGGGAGGAGAGAAAGAAAGAAAAAACAAAAGGAAGGAAGGGAGGAAAGAAGGTTAGAAAATCTAATTCTATGGTGAACTTTTTCTCCATAGCATTTATGGTTATTTTAGAAGAACACTTCTGTCAAATCAGTCTGTCCCACCACCACATATGGGCAGGAAGGATTACTTTCATTCCTTGTTTGTCCCCAGCATGGCTCAGAGGACAATCACTCCCTCAAGGAACAGCTATTTAATGCTCAAAAAACCTTCTGATGTTAAGGGAGCTTGTTCTCCTGCTTCCTGAGAGCCTGTGAACAAGTGTGGGTTTGCTGGCTCCTGCAAACTAACTGTACAGACAGAGGCTGTGGTATAGATGGCACACTTGCCTGGTGGGGTTTGAAGGATGATGGTCTGGGCAGTCCTAGAGCAGGAGCTGGTTTAAGTTCGATTAACCCACAACTGTGATCTTCAGCTTTGACCAGAATAACAATCAAAAAGTGGAATTATGTTGTTGTTGTTTTGAGACAGGGTCTAAGGTAGCCCACCATGGCTTCTAAGTCAGTGTCTCCTGTCTCAGTCTGCCCGCTCAATGCTGGGATTCTAGGCACGCACCACTATGTCTAGCAGCCAAATGTTCTACTAACAATACTCTCACCTTTATACAATGAAAAGGCAAAGGACCCAGGTTCAGTGCCCAACACTCACACCAGGTGGATCACAACTTCCTGTAACTCCACAACTTCTCTGGCCTCAGCTGGCACCTGTACAAATGGAATTCACACATACTGTTGAAGAATATTACTGTGGTGATATCTTGCTTGTACAAATAAAGTCTGTGTGAAGATCAGAGGATGGGACTAGCTGACCGTGGCAGTCTGGAGTCCTGGAGAGACAGACAGGAAGTTAGATGACTGGGCAGAGGAAGGGGGTGGAGGAAGGAACAGGAACTCCCTCTCTTTTCCACTGGGAAGCTAATCTTGCTTCCTTTGCATCTGGCTGGCTACTGCATGTCTGTCTATCCTCTTCCCAGAATTCTCCTAGCCTGGTAGCCCTCCCTATACTTTCTGCCTGGCTACAGGCCAATCAGCATTTTATTAAACCAACATGAGTGATAAATCTTTACAGTGAACAAGAGCATTATCCAACATCATTTCCCCCTTTTTCTTAAAAAAAAAAAAGAACCCTGAATCTAATCTCCTTTGTTTAGCTTTTTTCCTGACCATTATCTCCTAACAAGTTGTAACCAACACGTTAAACAAAGATAAACATCCATAATCCATTTTTTGGGGAATGTGGGTGTAGTTTTTTTTTTATTTTATTTATTTATTATGTATACAATATTCTGCTTCTATATATATCTGCACACCAGAAGAGGGCACCAGATCTCATTACGGATGGTTGTGAGCCACCATGTGGTTGCTGGGACTTGAACTCAGAACCTCTGGGAGAGCAGTTGGTGCTCTTAACCTCTGAGCCATCTCTCCAGCCCCTGTAGTTTTCTTTTTTAAAGATTTATTTATTTAGTATACAGTATTCTGCCTGCACACCAGAATAGGGCACCAGATCTCATTACAGATGGTTGTGTGCCACCCTGTGGTTTCTGGAAATTGAACTCAGGACCTCAGGAAGAGCAGCCAGTGCTCTTAACCTCTGATCCATCTCTCCAGCCCATGAGTGTAGTTTTCTAGACTACTTCCTGGTGACTGGGGATGCTCGCAATCTTATGGAGACCCAAAGAAAATTTAGGATTATGGTCAAGTTTTGACTGGAGTATTCTGTGAGGCTGGATCACCTCAGCCAGCAGCCTTGAAGCTATTCTGGATGAAGAACTCAGAAGAAACTGCAACAGAGGTGCTCTGAAATGTTGGATCATCTGGGCCGTCTGTTCCCATCAGAGATTTTTCATGGGGTCTTCCTCATTCAAACCTGATTTTTCTTAACCCAGAATAAACCCACAACTCTCATTTCCTGTGGGGAAAAAAAGCAAAACCTCTTCTCCAAAGTAATATATCTTTTGACTTAAATTTTGAAGTTAAGACATTTTAAAAATGTGTAGGTTGGATTAATCCAACAGCATTTATAATCAAATGGCTTTTAGCAGCTGTTACTCCTTCCTCAGCAGTCAAACAATTCAAAGATAGCACAACATACAGTACCCAGATTCTCTGTGTACTTTTTTCATCTTTATGTGTTTTTTTTTTTTTTTTTTTTTTTTTTTTTTTTTTTTTTGGCTCTGTCCCGTCCTCTCCATCCCTCCCCCCTTTGGTTTTTCAAGACAGGGTTTCTCTGTGGCTTTGGAGTCTGTCCTGGAACTTGCTTTGTAGACCAGGCTGGTCTGGAACTCACAGAGATTCACCTGCCTCTGCCTCCCAAGTGCTGGGATTAAAGGCGTGCGCCACCACCGCCTGGTGTCTACCTATATTTTAAACACACTGTAAACCATTTAGAGGTTTTTTTTTTCCCATCTGAATCAGTATTTAATGTATATCTCTATATTTTCTGACCAATTGAGTCTTTAATCTACCAAACAGCTTGGCTAGGAATAATGGCTTTGGTGGCTGGCCCCACCCCATTCCTTGGCTTCCTCAGTGTCTAGCTTCATAGCAGAGGTACTTGTGGGGAGCCAGGTTTATTGCCACAACTCTTCGGAGTTTGTAGGTTCATGTCTCCACCATGAAGCATGCTGCCAGCTGCTTGTAAACATACTTAATTGTTTGGTAGCAGGGCCTCTTAAAAGAGCCTTGTGGGTTTTTGCCTCTAATGCCGAGTCAGGATTTCTCTCTTAAAGGAGCCTTGAGCCTCTGCCTGCCTTTAGCAAACAGCCCATCTGAGAAAATGCTGCTACCAAGAAGCCGTGCTTGTCTCTGTTATTTTGTGTTTAGAATCCCCTTTTAAGCATTTGTCAGGTTTTATGTGGAATTTCTTGCCAAACATTTAGGTAAGCGGAAGTTTCTGTCCTGCCCTGTCCTGCAGTCGCTCAGTGCCAAATAAACACACAAAGGCTTATATTAATTATAAACTGGCTGATGGCACAGGCTTATTACTAACAAGATCTTATTTATGTTTAGCCATGTTGCTTGGTAACTTTTCTCAGTATAGCGTTCTCACTTTGCTCCCTCCTCATCTGGCTCCCTCGAATCTGCCTGCTGATATGAAGTGGTGACTAATTGGGCTGAGACCCTGGAGGCCTGAGTTTTCCGGGGTCTAACAGAAGAACATCAGGATGAATGTTTGTCTCTGATTGGACCTGGTGGGAAAAACTTAAGTGGCTGTAAATCCTGATTCGGGCTATCTAATGCAAACCCATAGCTTATTCCCTAGCAAGCATTATTTAAAGCTTGCTTCAAATTTGACTTTAAATTGTTGTAGTGGTCTTATTCTAGATGGGAGGATTAGCAGTAGATAGCTGTGTGTCCTGTGTTTCCTTGCAACTAAAATGTGTAAAACTGGAGGCTGAGGCAGGCAGATCTCTGTGACTTAGAGACCAGCCTGGTCTACAGAACAAGACAGGCTCCAAAGTTGTAGAGAAACCCTGTCTTGAAAAGCCAAAAAAAAAAAAAAAAAAAAAAAAAGAACACAGCCATTATATCATCAGTAACTCGTTTTCAGAATCTAACAAGGCAGAAAAAACATCACTTTATTCACCATATATAAGTGGATCGGGTTCTTTTGTTATAAACATTCATTATTGTCTAATTTAGGTTCGTTTTACTCATGATAAAACTTTTTTTTTTCTTTTTGTAAAGCGTGCTGATGGGAACAAAGACACAGCGGGCAAGTCTCAACCAGTCACTAAGTGGTCTCTTTTGATCAATGATACAATTTTGTACGTTGTTCGTGTTTATTAGTGTTTAGTGTTATAAATGTAGACAAGTCATTTTACATGCAACAACTGTTTAGAAAACACTTTTTTTTAGTTATCTGTTACCATGAAGTAGGTTTCTATACATGCCAAGGTTTATCCTAAAATAAACTTATTGAAGAATAAAAGTGAGTTGCCTGGTGGTAGCGCACGCCTTTAATCCCAGCACTTGGGAGGCAGAGGCAAACGGATCTCAGTGAGTTCGAGGCCAGCCTGGTCTACAGAGCGAGTGCCAGGACAGCCAGAGACACACAGAGAAACCCTGTGTCGAAAAACCCAAATAAATAAGTAAATAAATAAACAAATGGTGAATAAATGAATAAATAAATAAACGTGAGCTAACTCGGTAAGAAATAATTTCCAGACACTACAAACACTGCAATCCCTTTTGCTAACCCCCCCACCAGTGGTGTGGGTACCACGTGGCTACGGCTACGGAAGCCGGGAAGGCGAAAGGCGAAGAGCCCTAAGGAAAGCCGGCTCAGTCCCACAGAGGAGGTGTAATGAGCAGGCGCAGGAGCGGCTGGCTGCTCGGTTGCCATGGTGCTGTGGGGGGTCCGTAGTGAGCCGGCGCAGTTGGAGACGCTGTCTCCCAGGCGCCGCC